AAGATCCACTACAATTGTAGTGGATTATTTTAAAATGTTAAGCATTGTTTATATACCATATCCAAGTGCCTTGTTGCTCCTCGGTTTCTCTTTTTTTCTCTTTCAGAGTCTTGCTCTGAAGGCGAAGCTATCCCGATCAACCAAAAAAGGGGGAATAAAGACGAACAAAGAGGAAACGCACCAAAATGTCTGCTTTTTTGCTTGTCCAGAAGAAAAAGTGCGGATTTCCCTATTCTTGTCGCTCCCTCTCTCAAATGCCGCTGAATTGACTATTTTTCACCTAAATATACGCCAAATTGTCTGATTTTCGCCTTACTACACATCGTATTTTCTCCTTTTGACATAGATATACGTCGAACTGTCTACTTTTATTCCAACTTTTGAAACACCAAAGGTCTTCTATCTTCGCCTTTATTCCTACAACAAACCACACCAAAACCACAATCCACGAGGAAAATGGTATATGTTTAAATAGATTTATTGAAAAGGAAAAGTGTTCTACTGTACAACGTTATAGCAGACGCTTGAGCATCAATCGTCGTGCATTTTCATTGTAATTGCCAATTCATTGTTATTTGAAAATATCTGCAAAAGAAGAAACATGTGATGTATTATTAGTAAGGCATGTGTATTTAATTGCAAGTTCACTGAAAGCCGAACACACTATCTCAACACTTAAATAGTTCCCCATGTAAGCAAGAAGGTCAGCTCATTTCCAAAATAATGTTTATTGAAAAATAAGTTGAACATAAAAAACATTCCACAGATTAGTTTTTTAGCCACGCTTGTTCGGCTATTGAGAATAATAATAATCTTCTTGTGAATTCCGAAGTGCAAAGAAAAAAGAAGTAACAACGATATCTGAATGACATGCTTTGGCACATCCAGATACTTGAAGCTTCACTTACGGTTATGTTCGTTAACACTGCCGACTGTAAATATAGAGCAGTAGAGAAGTTATCACTTTAAATTAGTACATACCTGTTCTTGTTTCCTTCGATTTATTAATTTGTCCCAGATGTCGTGAAAATAACCTTGCGTCGCGATATCGTACAGTCTCACAAAGTCTTTTTCGTTCACAGATGATGACAAAAAGCGATTGGTTGATGCACCTGAAGTTTAAATAATAGATATAGGCTACTTTGTATGCAGCCGTAAAGCCGGCATTTCTGAAGTGCTCGTTCTGACGAAGTGCCGAGTAACGTGAAATTACTGACAACCCCGGGTGTCATGAGGTACGACAAAACATATCGCATTGAGGGTTTAGGATAACGTAAGGTGTACTTAACAATAATAGTAATAATAATATATGCGTGTTGAAATTGAGTATTTTTGGTAATTATGTGTTCAGCGTCCAAGACCGTGTGTTTAGAAACCACTACCACTACACTACTCTCCCACAAGAATCAAAGTGAAGTGGGTTCGACACCGAGTCCAGTTGGATTGTCATGCGCCGGAGGTTAGCAAAAGAATGACAAAAGTCTCCCGGGTATTGATAAGCTGAAAGTAAAATTAAAAAGAAGTCGGCAGCAACTGACCGGGAAATATATGTCGTGCTTTTTGAAATGTTCAGTTTAATTCTTAACATACTTAAAATGAAAGTCTACGTGAAAATTATTTCACAGTTAGACAAAGCGGGATTATAATAATTAACAATGATTTTGCGGAATGATGCGTAGCAAAAGCTGAACTTATGGCAGTATAAGTAGTTTGAGCTAAGAAACAGGAAGAAATCAATACGACAGAAATGTTGATCTTGGTATCATTTCTGGTTTAAATTCCAAAGTCAGTTAACGTTTTTGTTGGCACACTGTCTGTATGAGTTGACTTCCGATTGCATGTGTATTAGTAGGCTAACTGAAGGAACAAAAACATTGCCGCGGAGAGGAAGAATTCCAGTGGGCATGGTAAGTCTAGTGCGGTTTATTTAGTCGCAGGGGGACTTTCTCTACTTCATTATTCGTTAACTGCGGTAGGACTTCATCAAACATTCCTTTTAATGCGTAAAAGGTGGTGATTATATGAATTTTAGAGAGATAGCTTGATCCGTCGTGAAACATTTACAGCTGAGGGTGAAGCTTGAGGATGCCTGTAAAACCGTTCTACACGGTTTACACAAGTTAAGAGGTAAGAATATCCATTTGACTCTGGTAATAACAAAACAAATCCAGATGAACATGGTCGAAACGGACGTCTGGAGTTTTGAATGAGCCCAAGGACATTTGTTGTGTCTATTCAAACTAGATTTCTGGAAGCTTACACAGGAGTACGTCAACTCCCTCATGTATTCGTTCATATCAGGACAACAAGACCGTTCTGCTATGAGCTTGATGGTTGTTCAAACAACTAGATGAGAAAGTGTGTGTAACGTACAGAAGACGTCGAGTCGATAATGTTTCGGCACGACTGGATGGTCTGCACTTTTAGATGTGTCATATAGTAGAGTTTAATTTCCCGTTCTTATCCCTTTGATCCTCAGTTTCCGGGTTGTCGGTGATTACTCATGCTCAGGATCAGTGTCTTTTTTTAGGCTGAGCACGTTTGAGGAGTTCGGTTCCTTGGAAACTGTTCGAGGATGTTGCATGAGACAAGGCTTCTGAGACTACCATGTCCTCCTCGGAAATGTGTTGCATATCTGAAGTAAACTGAAAAATGTAGTTCAGTTGTCGAGACGTTGGAGAGGAGTACTTGTTTGGAGACGAGCTTAGAGAGGAGATGTGAGGTTTGAGGTCGGTGATCAGAGTGAATTCTCGACCTCCAAAAGATTTTCGAAAGTGCCGCACAGCATAATATATGGTTAGGAGTTCTCTGCTGAAAGTGTTGTACCCCGATTCAGTGTCTATCAACCGCCTCAAGAAGCAGGACATAGGTTGCTGGCCGTTGTTTACTCATCGTTGTAAGACTCCTCCGTTTGCTCATTCAGACGTGTCTACCACGGTACTAGTGGGTGATTTAATACCTCTGGGGTGTGAGCATAGTTGCTACAGCAAGAATGCCGCTTAGACGTTATCGTCCCAATTGATGGTTTTTGCATTTTCATAAAGTTGCTTGGTTAAGGGTCTCATGAGGGACGCGTGATTTCGTATAAACCGTCTATAAAAGCTTACCAGGCCGTTAAACGTACGTACTTGCTTGACTGTGGTCAGTTTTGGGTAATCCAGAATGACCGACTCTTTGATTTTTAAAAGGCGAATGCCTTGAGCATCAGTGGTTTGTCCGAGAAAATCTAGGAAGTCGGTGACATTTCCTAATGTTTACAGTAGTACCATATGTTGGTAGTCGTTCGAAAACAAGATCCAGATGCTATAAATGAGATTTTCTGTTCGGACTTGCAATCCAGCAGTGCATGTACAGAATGGAGACCCCTGAATACGTCACTGATGAATCTTTTGAAAGTTTGTGAATCATTTCTTGAGCCGAAAGCCATGCACAAAAATTCGTAGAGTCTGAACGGGGTGGTACTAGCTGTTTTAGGGATGTCGTATACTGTTATGGGGAAGTAGATCGATTTTCGAAAACAACAATTGTACTTTTTAAAGTAGCTGTCAAATAGTGAATGTTCGGCAACAATTAACATTCAAGAGTGGTTTTCGTATTCAGTCACCGATTATCACCAGTTGGACACCAATCGTTTCTGTTCCTTATAGGGACTATGTTCAAGGGAGATACTCATAGGCTGTTTGATGGCCGGATGATCTCTAAGTCCATCATATGGTCGAATTCGTTATTAACCAACCTCACCTTTTCAAGAAATAGCACTTTCGAGAATACAGATGATCCTGCAGTCATGATGTGGTGTGCAACATTTCTGGTTACACACGGTAGTTCTAATCGCATTTCGTAAAGCTCAAGTACTTTTCGAGTACCTATTGATAATACGGGTCGATTATGTTATTAAGAAAGACTGAGGACAGTCTACAAACAGAAAAGAAAGTTACACAAACAGATAACATAACATAATTTATGAAATTCACCAAATTATTACACCACCCACTCTGGAGTAACCCCCCTCTTTTGACTTCTGACCTGTATATATATATATATATATATATATATATATATATATATATAATAAATCTGTGAATTTATAGACTTCCAGTTTCTTTTTTTTCGGCATGTCATTGTAATCCAGTTATTTACACTCATTTATGTCAATTGTTTTCACACTATCTCTATGTAAGACAAATTCTATCACAATTTTGGTTTGTAAGCAGCTGACGAGAAACCTCGAAATAATATGAATTCATACTATTCTGCATCAATGTTTGTTCTTGCTCTATTTAGATAACATAGTATTTTCGCCCACCAACTCCCGTTTGCACGTGTCGCTTAGTAAATTATGATGGAGCAGGTCTATACCGATAAGTGACATAGAAACATCTGCAACAACGAGAATCCAGGAGATGGGTTTGCGCAAACCATTGTTAAGATAAACATATCACTTACCATACATGGCAATCGCTTTTCAGTTTGCTGCCTGTAAGTTGGAAACTGATTTGCGAGAAGACAGGTTAAATCTGCGCCACTATCGACGAGGTAACGAATTTTCGCCATAACATCATCGATGTATAACATACGGCTATGTTTCCCGTCTACGGTAGCCGCTAACGTGTGCTGGAAGGGAAGTTTCCCAAAACGTTTCGCGTGTCGAGTGGTTTATTCCGTCCAGAACCATTTTAACCATTCGGAGCTACAAACCACTTAATCAAATAATGGCACATGATACGCCATCACTTTTATTTTATTCTAAAATAGAGAAGTTACGGGGACACTTTAAAAAATTCACGCGTCCAGGACAAATTACTTGTCAGCTGAACCTCGACTTTTCCATGGAATCATCGATGAATAGAATTCACAACCTCAAAACGTGATTGAAGTTCCATTTATCTACGCTTTCAAGAGAAAGTTTGATAAACTGAGAGATCACCATTACTAGGACTGGCGCAGGCCACATAGGCCCCTATTCTTTCCGAACTGAAACTGATTACGTTTAAGGCTTAGCGCTCTTTCAAATGACAGTGCAATATAACCAACTTGTTCTCACTGGGGGTCCAGGTGTATTTTTCAAACTGTTATTGAAGTAAAGCTTATGGTTTGAAATTACTTTCTAGATGGAGAGGATGTATTTTCAAACTGATCTACATCGATGTTATTGTTTTCATGACTTTATACGCATTAATCACTTGTGTATACCGTTTCGCTCTGTCAGTTGAGTGGCAAAGGTTTGGTTTCTCTTTTAAGTATCTAAATACATTCAGAACCTTTGAGGATATTATAACATTTACCAGGAGCTTTCAAGGTTTAATCCCAGTTTCTTTCATTCTTGGTTTCTATATCGATAACGTCTTTACAAGGTTTTGGAGACTATTCATGACCATCCCGTGGGTGCTTAAGTTCGCCATTTCAATTTCTGGGCATCTTTCTGGAAACTCTGAACGTGCTCGTTTAATGCGACGAACGTGCTTTCGGTACATGATGTCAAGCCTAATAATGACCTCTACACGTCTCAACCTAATTGCCAAGAAGCGTTTCCCTACACCAGAATTCTTCGTTGCAGCAGGTGCGGTTATTATGCTTTCAAGTTAGGCTTTATTTATGAGAGTTATAGTGTTAACAGTATCATTGCATATTAATATTGCGAACCCTGAGGTGATCGATAAAGGTACCGGTTTCTATGCTACGTCTGACTGATTGGTCGAGAAATGAGCTACTGTAAAAAAAGATTTGTGAAACGCGATTATTAATTGCATTCCGAGGTTTATTAACAGCTTGAGAGAGCCCTAAATTACAAACGATAAAAATTTAAGACAGGTTTTCCGTATGCTTCGCTAATAATCTACTGTGGCCTTTTTGGAGCTGACGAGCAGCCTAGTAGGATGAATTATTTTATCCTCGTAACTTTGATTTTCTTTTTTTAGATTTATCAAGGGGTCAAGCTTTATAAGTTTTAGACAAAGATGATCTGTGTTGGTGGTGGAAATTATATTGAGATAAAAAGTTACTTAAAATAAATAGAACTCCGCCTGTAGCTCTTATAGGGTTACTCCCGGTCCCAAGCCCGGGTAAAGGAGGAGGGTTGAGCATGTGGTTAATGTCCCATCCCGTAGAAATCTAACTCGCTAAAAAACGCTTACCAGGAAAAATAATCCAAACCATTTAAACCCTGCCCTGGGAGTTAGAAGGTCTTCATTTAGAAGAATTATGACGCTTCATGGTGAAAGCCGAGTTCCTTCGGAAGCCACGAGGCCGATGCCCCTTCTAACAACCAGAGCAAAAATTTTTATAGGTAAATGGAACGTTCGAACAATGTGGGAAACCGGGAAGACCATTCAAATAGCATTGGAAATGAGGAGATACGACTTAGCAGTACTGGGAATCAGCGAAACCCACTGGACCCAAGCTGGACAGAAAAGGCTAGCTACGGGAGAGATGCTGCTATACTCCGGTCACGAAGAGGACAATGCTCCACACACTCAGGGAGTCGCTCTTATGCTGTCCAAATTAGCACGAAATGCACTTGTAGGATGGGAATCCCACGGATCCAGAATCATCAAAGCATCATTCAAAACAAAGAAGGAGGGGATCTTAATGAATATTATCCAATGTTATGCACCCACAAATGATAGCAACGACGACATTAAAGATCAGTTCTTCGAGCGGCTGCAGTCAGTTATTGAGAAATGCCCAAGAAAGGACCTAACTATTCTGATGGGAGATCTAAATGCCAAAGTCGGAATAGACAACACTGGATATAAAGATATTATGAGACGACATGGACTGGGAGAAAGAAACGAAAATGGAGAAAGATTTGCAAATCTATGTGCATTCAACAAATTGGTCATAGGAGGCACAATATTTCCACACAAGCGTATACACAAGGCTACATGGATCTCACCGGACCACACTACAGAGAACCAAATAGATCATATAAGCACCAACAAAAAATTCCAAAGGACAGTGGAAGATGTGAGAGCCAGGAGAGGAGCTGACATAGCTTCAGATCACCACCTAGTTGTGGCCAATTTAAAACTGAAGCTGAAAAAGAACTGGACAAGTGGACAAACAGCACTACAAAGGTTCAATACAGCCTTCCTTCGAGATACTGACAAACTCAATGAATTCAAGATAGCTCTCAACAACAGGTTCCAAGCCTTACAAGATCTACTGAAAGAAGAAGAAACTAGTATGGAGGACAACTGGGAAGGCATCAAGGCAGCATTAACTTCAACGTGTCAAGAGGTTCTGGGTCTAAAGAAATACCATCATAAGGAGTGGATCTCTACAGAAACACTGGACAAGATCAAAGAAAGGAAGAACAAGAAGGCAGCAATAAACAACAGCCGAACACGAGCAGAGAAAGTCCAAGCACAAGCTGAATACATAGAAGCAAACAAACAAGTGAAGAGGAGCATTAGAGCCGACAAGAAGAAATACGTGGAAGAACTAACAACGACGGCAGAAAAAGCTGCTAGAGAAGGAAATATGAAACAGCTTTACGATACAACGAAGAAACTATCAGGGAAATACAGTAAACCAGAGAGACCGGTCAACGACAAAGAAGGCAATCCAATCACTGAAATTCAACAACAGCGGAACAGATGGGTAGAATACTTCGGGGAACTCTTGAATAGGCCGGCTTCAATGAATCCACCGGACACCAAAGCAGCACACACAGATCTTCCTATAGACGTCAACCCACCAACGAAGGAAGAAATCAAAATGGCCGTCAGACAAATCAAGAACGGGAAAGCAGCGGGTCCGGACAACATACCAGCTGAAGCACTGAAGTCAGACATCGAAGCATCTGAAAAAAAACACAGAATACAATGGACAGCTCAGAATCAGTTAGACGATTTGGACTTTGCAGATGACCTAGCCCTCCTATCACGTACACACGAACAGATGCAGATGAAGACAGCCAGTGTAGCAGCAGTCTTTGCATCAGTAGGCCTCAGCATACACAAAGGGAAAAGCAAAGTCCTCAAATTCAAAGCGGAGAACAGCAGTTCAATCACTCTTGATGGCAAAACTCTGGAAGATGTAGAATCCTTCACATATTTGGGAAGCACCGTCGATGAACAAGGAGGCTCAGATGCAAACGTAAAGGCAAGGATTGGCAAAGCAAGGACAGCATTCCTACAGTTAAAGAAAGTATGGAACTTAAAACAACTTTCAACCAATATAAAAGTGAGAATCTTCAATACCAACGTCAAGACAGTTCTACTGTATGGAGCTGAAACTTGGAGAACTACAACAACCACAATCAAGAAAGTACAAGTATTTGTAAATAGCTGTCTTCGCAAGATACTCAACATCCATTTTCCGGATACCATCAGCAACAGCCTTTTGTGGTAGAGAACAAACCAACTTCCAGCTGAAGAAGAAATTAGGAAAAGACGATGGAAATGAATAGGACATACATTACGCAAATCGTCAAACTGCATCACGAGGCAAGCCCTAACTTGGAATCCTGAAGGGAAGCGAGAAAGAGGAAGGCCAAAGAACACATTGCCTCGGATAATAGAAGCAGATATGAAAAGGATGAATAGGAACTGGAAGGAGCTAGAAAGGATTGCCCAGGACAGGGTTGGATGGAGAATGCTGTTGAGCGGCCTATGCTCCTTCACGAGGAGTAACAGGCGTAAGTAAGTAAAATAAATAGAAATGCATTAGTTCATATGGGATTCAACATTTTATGTGAATAATCTGACACCTCATCTATCAGTCTAACTATTGGTTTGTTGGAAATTGGATGCTCGGATTCTCCTAACTGTGGTTAAACTTGTTGTTTAGTCTATAAATTATTGTGATATAGGGTGTATATCGCCTCAATGTACCATGATTAGTGTAACACCATTGCGAATTAGCAATATCGAATTTATACAGTTCTCAAATTCTTCAGTTTTCACAAGCTTAGTCTCCTAAGTCTTTGTGGACTAGATTTAAATAATTTGCTTTCATTCGTCAATTGCAACATGTAATCCATTTCTTTTAAATGTAGTCGAATAATTTGTTGTATATACCTGGTGGTTGTTTTATTTTTTAAGCCTGTTTTTTTTACTCCGGATCCGTAGTTCATTGGAAAGCACTATTCCATATATGACTACTGTTGTTGATTAAGAAAGTGTCAGAAGTGCTGTTTTGAATGTCCTGATTGCTTAAATGACTAAGAAACAACTATGAATGTACATAATCGTTTTCCAAAAATATAATCTGAGAACTATTCGATATTAGAGTTCTGTTCCTTCATTTAGGAATACTTACAGAAGAAGAGTTGGACATAATTATGAGTGTTAGTCCCATTCATGTCCAACCGTTTGTTCCAATAGTATGGACTACTTCCCTCGTCACTCTCGCCGGAAAAGAAGGCTTTATTACTAATCATCATGCCTTGGTGTCCATCATTGATGTAAGTTGTTTCCAGTTAAAGCAGATTCCATGTACAAAAAGTGTATGCATAAATCAGTAAACCTAAAAATTAGCTTTTATGCACATTTCTTGACAGTATTTATTTGTATAGAGTATGCGAATCTTAAGAAAATCTCTGTAAATACCTAGTCAACACATAGTACCTCAATCACTAGTCTATATGTTTCTCCGCCGTTTTCGTAATCCAAGTCTTGTGGTGTCTTGTATCATGTTCTTAGGTCTTCAACATCCCACGTAGACCTTACACACGGCCTTTTATAAAAAGTTTTTATTGTTAGCTTCGTATTTCAAAAGACCTAACTTCCAGCAGTGAAAGTGAAAGCGTGAGGTTTCTACGGCCAACCTTTTCTTACTCATTCCTTCTATTATGACGAGGCAACATCGGCGTAGAGGGTGATTATATGAGGCGAACATCTTACTACCGTCACATTCCAGTATAGTCAGCAGCACGACCTTGCCCTCGGGACTTCAGTTACTGCTTTTAGTCTCACCGTCCCCTAACTAACCTCTCTTACGTGGTAGTGTGGTGTGTGCTACTGATGTTGACAGATATAAGTAGTATGTATCATCAATTGAGAGTGAAATTCCTGGAGGCAGAAGGCTTAGAAGATCAAAGAAAAGAGAACAAGAACAAAGCTTGATTGGTGCGAAAACGAAAAAACAATAAAGTCTGAGACGATTGATTGACATTTTGCAAATAAAGTTTTTACTGTATGGTTCTCAGATTTTACTAAGATGTTCTGTAATTTTGTGTTCATATACATGGGATTGTCCCCACTTGTGTTCTCGTTCACTACAGTAGGACCTAAAGTATTTTAGACAATATAGCTCGACTGGGTCACATGGTATACAAACCTCAAAGTAGCAATTACAGTCGGGACAGAATCAGTATAGCAACAATAAAACTCATGAGTGATATTATTATGGAACCTTTATGCACAATAAATTCACTACTTCTGGCTCATTTGTATGCGAAATGGAGATAGTTAGTGGTTTTCACTTACGAACTTAACAGTATCTCAAACAAGTAAGTTTTCAAACTCAGTTAAACCTATTTATTAGATAGATTTACGGGATACATTTTGAGTCACACTGTGTAAGGGCTTTTGATAGTACTCGGTTGCCTAAGTAAGTTCTCGTTCAAACATACAGTCAAATGGTTTAAAATCAAATTGATCGTTTAAAAGTATTACTTTTAACCAACATACTCTACTTTAAGGTACGAAGATAACGGGTGAGGCAAAATACAAAAATAGGAAACTGAATGTTGATTTGAAAAAATTGGTTACCTTAAAATACAATAAACGAGAACAGCTTTTACAGGTATTCACTCCTTATAGTATTAATACAGATTCCTAAAAGTCTGGTGTATTGTACTCTCTGATTTACCGTGCTTAGAAGCTACCGCTCAACTGTCTCAGGTTAATTTGTCGTTATCATACCAAAATCTGAACTGTGGTGGAAACGATAAGAAGTTGGCCCCGAACGCCCTGGTACGGCCGAGAGTGGGGAGAGTCCGCTCTCCCTCTCGAAATACTCTCACACGGCCGCGCGTATAAAGCCTCTGCCAGGGAAGTCCTACTCATTGCCTTCTCGTGGAGGGGGTGTTGTTTACGAAAATGAGAGGACGAAAAGCGAACGTCCGGCGCTTTAACCGGATCACAAACCAATTGTGCACATGGGCTCCAGTATCCTGCGGGAACAAATGGCGCATGAACCAATCGTTGGTCACCGGCTACCATGGGATCACATCTCCTTACGATGCCGCACTGCCTTGTGGGTTAGACCATTAGGTCAAAGGCTCGGGGTGTGGCCCCCTAAGATAACTACCTGCTTCGGTTTGGGCACCCGGGCAGTATCACAGCCCACACACAAACGATGGACTCTATGACTATGGCAACTACTTTTCTCGCTCCGATAAACAATCAATCGATTCAAATAATTATCATTACTATTATTGTCATTATTAATACTATTATTATTATTACCATTATTGTTATTATTATTATTTTCCACATTATTCACCCTCTTTTATATTTATGCAGCGGGTCGTCTTTGGTGGAAATTTGACTCTATCTAAACGTTCTCGAGTCACTGTCCGGTTGAAAATTGTATGTTACCACCGAATACGAGAACTGAAGCAGTTTTTCTGCAACCACGTGCACCATTCAAACTGGCTGCCTTCAACGTTCGCACACTAGTGCAGGTCGGACAACAGATAGGGCTGGCTATGTCTTTGGAAAGTCTTAATATTGATGTTTGTTGTCTATCCGAAACCCGTATTCAAGACTCTGGCGAAGTACTACAAATTCGATCTCCATCTGTCGCTTCGAAAAGCTTGTTTTACGTGCGCTTAGCCGGGGACCCTGTGGCATCTTCGTCTGGTCTTGCTGGCGTTGGTGTCGCACTAAGCGCTAGAGCTGAGGCAGCACTAGTCGATTGGATCCACATTAACAGTCGGTTATGTGCTGTTAGATTAGAAAGTTCCATCAAAGTGAGAAGAAATAGGCGTGAGAAACGATGTCTTTTCGTCATCTCCGCCTATGCCCCGATAGATTGCAGCCCGGATGCAATCAAGGATGAGTTTTACCACCAGTTATCTGTTCTTCTCCAGAAAGTGCGCTCGACAGATATTGTAGTACTAGCCGGAGACTTGAATGCTCAGGTTGGGCGTCTAGGCACAGAAGAGAGTCGTTTAGGTGGCCGATGGGGACTTGTTAGTCTTAGGACAGATAACGGGGACCGTCTACTGCAACTGAGCACAGACCACAACCTGTTTCTGGCTAGCACTAACTTTCGGCACAGTCATCGCTGATGTGCCACCTGGCGTCCTCCCTCTGCATCTCAAGCCTGGACTCAGATTGATCACATCGCGATCAGCTTCCGCTGGCGTGGTTGTGTAAAAGACTGCCGCTCCTTTTGGAGTACCTATCTGGACTCTGACCATGCCTTGGTCTGCGCCAAGCTTGCCTCTTCAGTGGACAACGAAGTGACTGCCATCAAAGGATTGATATTAGCAAGCTGGTTGCAACTTCTGTTGCAAATAAGTATCGAACCGAGCTAGCCTCTAGGCTAGCTACCACTCCACCGAAAAGTTTGGATGAGCATTGGATGCAATTGCATGACGCCATGAAAATGGCGGGAACAGTCAGTTGTGGGTTCGCGAAACGTCCCGCTTTTAAGCACTAGGTTTCTTCTGGTTCCTTACAACTCATTGAAGCCCGTCGGTCTACTCCGGGTGACCGTGAGTTTGACCATAAACGAAAGATGTTACGTAAGGAAATTGGGCAAAACTTGCGTAAGGACCGAGAAGCCTGGTGGTCGGAGCGTGCTAATGAGCTAGAAGCAGCAGCTGCATCTGGTAACTACCGGAAGCTCTTCCAGCTCATCCGAGCCACTGGCAGCAAGAAGTCTGGTGTGAGTGAAACAATCTGTGAGGATGACGGGATGCCAATCACTAACATCTATCGACGTCTCGGACGATGGGCAGAATGCTTCGAAGGGCAGTTCAACTGGCCTGCTGCTCCGGCAACATCGGTCAAACTGTCCTGCCCTCCATGGCCGGTGACGACTGATCCACCAAACGAGGAGAAAGTCCGCAAGGAACTCCAACTCTTGAAGCGCTACAAATCACCTGGCCCAGATGACTTACCTCCGGCTCTTTTTAAAGATGGTGGTGACTTTTTGACTAAGGAATTGACGACGTTGTTTACAAAGGTTTGGGAATTAGAGAGTGTACCAACGTCATGGAAGGAGTCGAGAGTTCTCCCTATCTTTAAAAAGGGTTCACGTCGTTCCTGCAACAACTATCGGGGGATAAGTCTACTTCCGATTGCGTCCAAGCTATTGGCTTCCGTCATACTTCGTAGGTTGTTCAAAACCCGAGAAAGATTGACTCGCGAGGAGCAGGCTGGGTTTCGTTCTGGTCGAGGTTGTATTGATCATATCTTCACCCTCCGCCAAATGTTAGAACATCGCCATACTTATCAAAGGCCAACAATCGTAGTGTTTCTTGACATCAGGGCTGCCTTCGATTCGTTGGACAGGACTGTTCTGTGGGATTGTCTATTGAAGAAGGGTGTGCCTGAGAAGTTTATTAACATCCTAAAAGCCCTATATAAAAACACCTCAGGCAGAGTGAGGGCATACAACCACGTCTCTCCATTGTTCCATTCGAGTAGTGGGGTTAGGCAGGGTTGCCCAATCTCACTATTCCTCTTCAACTTTGCCATCGATGACATTCTGGAAACAGCTCTGATGAATGTAAGTAATGGTGGTGTGGATCTGTTGCCTGGAGAAAGACTTCTCGACCTTGAGTATGCGGACGATATTGTCTTACTGTGCGATAATGCCCAAGGCATGCAATCCGCACTTAATCAGTTGGCAATCAGTGTCCGTAGGTATGGTATGTGCTTTGCACCTTCGAAGTGCAAAGTACTTCTACAAGACTGGCAGGATTCAAATCCTGTACTCGCCCTGGATGGTGAGCAGATAGACGTAGTCGAAAAGTTCGTGTATCTGGGTAGCTGTATAAGTGCTGGTGGGGGTGTGAGTGATGAGATCAATGCACGTATAGTGAAAGCCAGAGCGGCTTATTCCAATCTGGGTCATCTTTGGCACCTTCGTGATGTTAGTCTGGCTGTAAACGGTCGGATCTACAACGCGTCGGTGAGAGCAGTTTTGCTCTATGCTTGTGAAACCTGGCCTCTCCAAGTTGAGGATGTTAGAAGACTCTCTGTGTTCGATCATCGCTGTCTCCGACGGATTGCTGACATTCAGTGGCAACACCATGTCAGTAATGCAGAGGTTCGGCATCGTGTGTTTGGGCACAGAGATGATAATTCAATTGGTTTCACCATCTTGAAACACCGACTTCGGTAGCTTGGACATGTTCTACGAATGTCGTCACAGAGAATTCCACGTCGTGCATTATTTGCCGACTCTGGGACTCGTTGGAAAAAGCGGAGAGGTGGTCAGTGCATGACATGGTGTCGCGGTATGAAAGAAAGCTGCAAAGGGCTGGCTTCTGTTGGTTCTTCATGACTCCCTGGTTGGGGTCTGAGAGATGGTACTACACAGTGGCTAGAGACGTTATCAGATATGGCTCAGAATAGAAGCCAGTGGCGATCCTGCTGTAACCTTCTTTTACTTTCTTCATAAAAAGTGGTTGTGTCTCCCTTACTTGAAAGATTTCTTCTGACTGTACCTTTCCGTTCCATCGTTACGAGCACACTACCTTACACCAATCTCTTCGTTATTGTTCTCTTTTTCTTTTGTGCTTCTTAGTTTTTTTTTCTATCTGTCTTCGAATTTTCATTGTTTTGTGTGGCGCATATATATTGGCGCTCTCTTGTACCAATATTTATGTGTTCAAATAAATAAATAAATAATCATACCAAAATCTGAACTGTGGTGGAAACGATAAGAAGTTGGACTAAAACTCAATAGTCATCGACTAAAAACTCGTGTCTTACTGCTCTTTTGATATTTCTTTGAAATTCCTAAACAGAAAACATTTTGACTCAGCAAATAAAAATCATTTTGCAACTGTTTTTCTTTAACTATACGAATCCCAATTTGTTGTGTCTGTGGATGCGCTATAAAAACCACAGTTTACTTAGTTTTGTGTTTCACTTTAATTTTAAAGTTGACATCTTTATTTTTAATTATCAGGAAATAAATAACTTTCGTCAGGGTCTGCTGGATATGTTTATGATCGATTTTGTTTGCATCCCATTGGTTTACACACAGGTTAGTTTTTTAATAAACCCTTTCATATAACATCTTCACACATCGCATAAATGGTACATTTGATGTTGTTTCTGTACATTCACTTTTCTAACACTACCATATTTTTTTCCATTCTACTTATGTCAGTAACCAGTTTGTAAAAAAGTATGATAAATAGTATTTCTATTTCACTTTGTAAGTTTCAAGAATCATAAATGTTCTGTGGAGGCATGGTTGTAGTTTACTTACCGAATGTCTGCAGTGTTACACTTTTCCGACGTCTGAAATATTTTCTCACAACCAGCTTTGTTCATAATTATGTATTCCATCTAAATAAGAAATAGATACCGTTTCTTCTAAAACACAATTTATCATTTGTGAAGAACACACAAATTACAACAGGGCCTTGACTAACTTCGAATCTGAGCAGTTTGTGATATTCCATCCAAGGAATGTGTGTTTAACAACAGACCTTAATCCAACGTAATTTTCTTTCATTTTATGACGCCATTCCATAGACTGACAATTCTAACTTTTACCTTTTAGGCAGTGTCTAATATGAACGCCACTCTAGCCACCAACGTCGGCATTCTAAAAGGGTTCCATTATTCGTATAATAAGCTACACTAATCTGAAACCACTTTCTGTATTTCCTTAGCTAGTACGTATTCCACTGCTAACCACCATCCGATCTTACAGTGCTTGTAGCTTAATGGGAATATCGGGTTAATCTTCAGAAAATGTATATGTACCAAAGGAGACTCGTAGTCCTAAACATCAACGGGAAGATTCAAACAACCAATACAAATAAATTAGTATGAGCAATAATTCAGAAAAAAACAGCAATAAAACCCAGGAAGCCTCGAAACTTCTACGGCCAAGTTTCACAAAAATGTAATACGAAAGTGATGTACATACAAACTTACATGTGGCCAAAGATTACCCTGATCAATTTAAACTTCTCATCTGTTGCACAACCACTCCGAAAATTCATACGGCTACCCAGATAAGCGAACTTTTTGACTACGAACATAAATTTTAAACACCTCAATTTCGTGGGTATCAATACCAACGTTGGACTTGATAATTTCAAATAAGTTGACGATTGGGTAGGAAGTTAGTAATATATATATATATATATATATATATATATATATATATATATATATATATATATATATATATATTTCTGGTAGGTCGCTCACTTTTGTGATTAGTTAATATATTATATAGACTATACTGCAGAAGTAAATTTCAGTTAAATAAACAATGTGGATATGTGATTGTCCATATTTTCACTGACATTTGTTCTATGTTCATGTTTTATCACCTGATCGCACTTCTCTAGATTGAAAAGCACATTTTATTAGTTATAAACATCAAATTACTTTTTATGTCTTAATAGGTTGTCACATTGGCAGTGTATATTTATTTCATAGCCTCACTTGTTGGTCGTCAATTTATAATCGATAGTTCGCGAACAAATTCACAAGATCTCTATTTTCCTTTCTTCATGTTCCTAGAGTTCATAGTGTATATGGGATTGTTAAAGGTAAGCGGTTTCATAATTCTGGTCATATACTATAATTATTGTTACATAGAATCAGTTAATCGGGTTCACTAACTACTTCCTTACGTACTTTCCTTCCTTCCTTTACTCTACCTTACTTAACTAATTACTTACCTACTTAGTTACTTGTCACTTTTGTACCTGACACTTTCATTTTCTGTCTTCTTCAAGGACTGGTATTCTGATTCTTAACACTCACGTCGCTATCGTTAGTGGGTACAGAGCACTGGATGACATTCATCGCAATCCCCTCCTTTGTTTTAAAGGATGCTTTGGTGATCCTGCATCCATAAGATTCCTGTCCTGCAAGTGCTTTGCGTGCTTCTTTGACCAGAATCAGTGGAAATCCTTGTGTGCGCGAAGCATTTTCTTCATGATCAAATCACAACAGCATGTCTCCTGAAGTTACTCTTTCCTGTCGATCATGCCTCCGATGGGGTTACTTATTCCAAGCATCACTAGGCTGTATCTTTTCGTTTCCCCGGCTATTTTACTGGTCCTGCAACATTGTGTGGACTTTCTGTGTACCTATGCCAATTGTTGCGCTGGTTTTCAGAAGGGGTATCGGCCTAGAAACTTCCGAATAGTCTCTGTTTTCTTCATAAGGCGTCAAAATGAATGAAAATCCTTCAACTCGGAGAACATAGTTTAAATGGTTCAAATTGTTTCTTCTGGTTAGCGTTTTTTATGAAGGTTTTCTATGAAATGGGGTTGCTGGTCCCTTGCCCAACCCTCCTTTATCCGGCCTTGGGATGCGCAGTTATTTATTTATTTATTTGAACACAAATTTTGGTGCAAGGGGGGAACAGAGGTACATCCGGAAAGAATTCTTTCAGAAGTTGCGGCCACTTTTTACGGAGAAAGTAAAAAAAGGGTTACAACAGGATCGTCACTGGCTTCTATTCTGAGCCATATCTGATAACGTCTCTAGCATCCCAACCAGGGAGTCGTGAAGAACCAACACAAGCCAGCCCTTTGCAGCTTTCTTCCATTCCACGACACCATATCATACAATGACCACCTCTCCGCTTTTTTCAACCAGTCCCAGAGTCGGCAAATAATGCACGACGTGGAATTCTCTGTGACGACATTCGTAGAACATGTCCAAGCCACCGAAGTCGATGTTTCAAGATGATGAAACCAATTGAACTATCTTCTGTGCGCCCGAACGCACGATGCCGAACCTCTGCATTACTGACATGGTGTTGCCACTGAATGTCAGCAATCCGTCGGAGACAGCGATGATCAAACACAGAGAGTCTTCTAACATCCTCAACTTGGAGAGGCCAGGTTTCACAAGCATAGAGCAAAACTGCTCTCACCGACGCGTTGTAGATCCGACCGTTTACAGCCAGACTAACATCACGAAGGTGCCAAAGATGACCCAGATTGGAATAAGCCGCTCTGGCTTTCACTATACGTGCATTGATCTCATCACTCACACCCCCACCAGCACTTATACAGCTACCCAGATACACGAACTTTTCGACTACGTCTATCTGCTCACCATCCAGGGCGAGTACAGGATTTGAATCCTGCCAGTCTTGTAGAAGTACTTTGCACTTCGAAGGTGCAAAGCACATACCATACCTACGGACGGATTGCATGGCTTCGGTATTATAGCATAATAAGACAATATCATCCTGTTTGGGAAGTAATCTATGACAGCTTCAAACGTTGCTTCCCTGTTTAACCAGTTTGTAAATACACTAATATATTGATTAATTTACTCAGGAAATTCACATACGAAAGTATTAGTTTTTGATAAATAAAGTAATAAGTGGTTTACTGTAAAGCTAGATATATTCCAAATTGATAGAGACCAGTTAGTTTTAGCAATATATTTTAGTCCATATGTGAGCTGCTTTCCCTCTTCATACCTAGTTGAGCCAAATTTTTCCTTCCGAGAACTAAGGACTTATTTCAGTATGATTTTTCCAAGTATAGTTGTAAAGGCTCTCCTTGGCATAATTCTACTATCCCTCGGAGATACATTGTTATTCAGTTATTACCAGTCACTTGTACCCCCCGATAAAAAAACTGTCGGTAAGTCACTGTCTCTATATAAGTAAATAGGTCTGTTAGAACTACCGGTTTAAAAAAACATTTATGACGTCCCTTCACTTCATTTTGGGTTGTGTTATCAAGTAGGAGTCACTTGAATGGCATAAGTTACTATCAGTTTGCCTTTAAGTGATCTTTATCACTATGAAATTAATTCCTATGAATATCTTGTTAAACCAAAACAGTTAGTGGCTTGACAATTCTAACCGAAAAAATATAATTTGTAATGGTTTGGATTCTATTCTATATAACCGAACAAAGTTTCCATCACATTACATGGCCCTGAATGCCCTGGTACGGTCGAGGGCGGGGAGAGTCAGCTCTCCCTCTCGAAATACTCTCACATGGTCGCGCGTATACAGCCACTGCTAGGGAAGTCCCACTCATTGCCTTCTCACAGCGGGGATGTTCTTCACGAAATTAAGAGGACGAAAAGCAGATGCCCGGCGCTTTAACCGGGTTGGTGGAAACGGAGGTTCCACCTAGGGGACTTGGAAATCTTTGATTCCAAACCAATGATGCACATGAATTCCAGGATCTTGAGGGAGCAAATGGCGTATGAACCAATTATTGGTCACCGGCTACCATGGGACTGCGTTTCCTGATGTTGCTCCGCTGCCTTATGGATCAGACCATTGGTTTGAAAGCTCCGGGTGTGCCCACCCCTTAAAAAACCACCTTCTTCAGTCTGAGCACCGAGTCAGTATCACAGTCCACACAAAAATCAAGTGACTTGCGTGGCTCATATGTATTCGGTGCCCATTTGTACCAATATTTATATGTTCAAATAAATAAATCAGCAAACGGAACAGATCACGAATTAAATTTGTCTTGACCAAAATTTAACTTTTCAGTAAACAGCTGTGGCAAATAATCAGTAATCTGCTTTCCTGAACATGGAATCCAAAGCAGAACTGTATGTATCATTAGAGCCGTAGTTGACGTACGTAAAGGAACAACAAAGGTACTTTCCGACCCCTGGAAATTTAGTTGCGTCAAGGTGATTTCTTCTGTGGATTCAGTGAAGAAGCGCCCCTTCTTCACTTCCATTGGATTTTATCTTCATTGTTTTGCGCCAACATGACTGGTGTGCCAAATTTCCAGATCTCAGAGATGAATTTTATAAGCTATAGACTGCGTAGTTAAGGCCGAGGTAACTTCAGTGACAGTGAAATTTTCTTACCTTATTTGACTATTATTTTAGATCATGAATGATTGTTAGTTCTTGCATACACACTGCACCCTGGGTTCTCTCATGTCCCTCGTTGCGGTCTGTTGTCACAGGAATAAAAAAAGGTAAATAGGAATCAAGAAGGAAATGGTAAGACTGACGAGATTTCCACGTTAGTCTCTCCTATTTAAAACACAGGGACTAATGGTGATGTTACGGCTTTTAAAGTGGAAAGATATCTTGTTTGTTTCCAAGACATTATTAGGTTGTTGAATCACCTAGTTAAGCACCTAAATGTTTTTTGACATCCGAGTATAAGCTACGGAAAGTTGTACAAAACTTTTACTTTCCACTGGTCTTTTTGAGGTTGCTTCGGGAGTATTTTGTAACTGTAGCTTTACCAAGTTCTATTGAACTAGGTTAAAATGAAATATAAAAGTGCTTAATACCTGTTTCAGGGACCGATATAATAGATAATAAGTTATAAGTCTGATAATAAGACCTTAATGTTATAGATTAATAAATCACCAACAAAATATATCTAACAATCACTTTGATTTTATTCATTAATAATGTATTTATCATGAGGATAAAGGTTTTCCACTCAACCCTCAGCAAAATAATGCATGCTAACTGTCAAATGATCCACAAATCTCACCACCCACTGATGTCTCATGAACATCATTCAACTTTGTCATAAGCATGCTTTTTGATATAACACTTTCATCGTCTTACTTTTCAGGGATTGATCTTGTACAATGAGATTGTCTTGTTGACTTGGAATATTCTGATATAGTTCTGTTTTGTGAACATGTTGACAAAATGCAGTCTTGTGACCACCTTGAGCGGCAATGCAAGCATTTTTGGGGTGCGGTTCTCTCCCTCCAGATGTAAAATGTTACTTCAGGATTGGCTTATGTCACCCCCTGAATTAGTGATAGGGAATAAAGTAGTTGGGCATATCGACCACTTCAATTATCTTGGGAATCTCATCAATGCCGATGCCTGACGAAATCTCAGCAAGCATTCAGAGGGTTCGATTGGCTTTTATCAACCTGTTATGTAGACGAGATGTTCGTCCGTTTGCTGCGCAGCAATTCGCTTCATTCTGCTTAATGGATGTGAAACATGGCTACTAAGTATTGGGGATATTCGTAAATTACTTATATTCGATCATAGGTGTTTACAAAATACTTCTGGTGTATTTTGGGACCACGGAGTAAGCAATACCTGGGTTAGGAGTAGAGTACTAGGTAGAAATGGGAAATCGATTGGTGAGGTAGTAAATCTTCACTAACTGAGGTGGTTGAGACATGTGTTACGTATGCTTGACCTCTGCCTACCTCGATACGTGGTTTTCTGGTGTAAGAGTAGGCTGAAAGCAAGCTAGTGGTGGCCAAACTAAAGCATGCCATCAGTCTATGAAGTCACAAACAATTGGATTTAGCCATTTTAATAGATGTAGACCGCCTGTTGGAGGTCCGCGTGATTATCGTAACCGATGGTAACAGACTTTGGATAACATGGCTGAAAATTGTCTTCAATGGTGCAGGTGTATCCATTTTTTGTCTTCCCCCAGATTCTGAAATCCTTATAACTTCTTCGCTTTCATTTCGCTGATTTATATTTTCTTCTTGAGTTGTATCTTCGATGCCAATGATTTCGTATTACGACCGGCACTGTCACTACTTCTATCATCCTGAAATTTGACCAAATGATCCAGTAATTTCCCTAACCACTGATTTCTCAGTTTTTCATGAACATTATTTTTTCAGACACTGATCTTTTCATTAAAAAATACGACTAGTTTGTATCACTGCTCTTAGTAATTTTCATTATAAATTTAGTCATATAATTACTAAACTTTGTTGTTTATATTATCTACTTAAAATCGAAAATTCTATTATTTTTATGTCCGAACGAAATATTCTAAACTCATCTTGTTAGAAAACCTGCATGTGCCTCTATGCCTCAGTAAATAGTGAATAATTTACTTGTTTTTCTTCAATGAGTTTGTTTAAATGCGTTTTTATTTGAACAGAGCACTAAAAAAAGTGTGTTGTACCCCTTCAGTATCAATTGTGGTAAATTGATCAATTATTTTCATAACACTTTTGTTCCACATGATTCACTACATTGCTTGCTACGGTATGTAAACAATTATGTTGAAAATGTCAATTTTACATGTCTAATGAATACGCTAACTTTTGGTGTGTTATTCCTTTGTTATTTAATTAAACTAACTGTTTTTCCAAGCGTTTTATGATGTTCATTTTTGATGACATCAATCTGTTTTATGCTTCTTATATCCTACCATATTTGATCTGCAACATAATTTTTCGACTACAATAATCTTAACTGCTTGTATTAAGTACTGTCGCGTTATTGTGCAGATTTAAGTTGGTTTTCTATTAAATTTTCTTTACAGAAATTAAGAGTTTGTTCCTCTTCTTTTGTAAAGGTTGCCGAAACACTGGTTAATCCTATGGGGGAAAATGACGAAGATATCGATATTAATGAGGTGATAGACTTTAATTGGAAAGTAAGTATTATATACGAACTGTTTGACTTCATTCAGCTTTTGTGTATTTATTTTATTTGATCAACATGATAACTTTCAGTATCGATTACTACGAACTCTTATTTCATCAACTACGTAGATGGTTATGGTCATCTACAACTAGTCGTAAAGCTAACCTAATGACAGTTAGTCCAGAGTCGATAATTCATGAATGGTTTTATCGTTCTCATGTAAATTATTCGAGAAGTTACTAAATACAGAACATACAACAAAAAAGATTTATTAGTAATTGAGTGTGGACTTTCGATGTGCAATAGTTAGTGTTTAAGAATGCTACTTAACCTTGTTTAGTAACTCTTGTGACTTTTATTTATTTGCTTAAGTGTTCATGTTTGTCCCAGAAATATATTTAATCAAGATGTATGTAGCTCATAATATCTGTTATACGAATTTGTACTTGGTTTCTTGTTACTTATTGTTTTATAAGTTTCTTATTTCCCAAAATTCATATATCCGTTCAATCTGTGTTAATATCATGGATTTTTATTCGACAAATACAAATTTAGTGCTAACAAGACATTTTCAATGTTTACCTAGACTGGATGGTGTATTGTTGATGGAATGAAAACAAGCGCTCCAGCTATTGTACGAGATTTCCACTGGCAACAATCCGTCATCGAATTACCCCACACACAGGAATCCAAACGACTAGCTACTCGCCCATTTAGAGGATCGACATATAATATAAAGTAAAACAGTATTTTTTAAAACATTTATATATATATATATATATAATCTTCAAAATGTCAGGAGGCACTGAGCGACGAGAAGCACTATCACAAAATAAACATATCCTCAATGGCATCTTTGGCAAGATTTCAGAAAGGAAGAACAAGAAGACAGCAATCAACGACAACTGAACATGAACAGAAAAAGTCAAGACAAGCTGAATACACAGAAGCAAACAAGCATGTGAAGGAGAGCGTTAGAGCAAACAAGCAGAAATACATGGAAAGACAGAGGAACAGATGGGTGATACACTTAGAGCAACTCTTAAATAGACCAGATCCATTGAAAGCATTTGACGGTGTGGATAGGAGAACCTTATGAAACCTTCTTCGACACTATGGTATACCTGAGGTCGTCAACATTCGTACAAAGGACTACACTGCAAAGTCGTGCATGGTGGACAGCTGACAGACACATTCCAAGTGAAGATCAGTGTCAGGCAAGGTTGCTCACTCTCTCCCCTTCTCTTTCTTCTGATGGTTGACTGGATTATGGAGACCTCAACAACTGATAGAAAGCACGGACAGCTCAGAGCCAATTAGACGACTTGCACTTTGCAGATTACCTAGCTCTTCTACCCCATACACACCAACAAATGCAGATAAGGATAACCAGAGTGGCAGAAGTCTCTGCATCAGTAGAGCTCAACATACACAATGGAAAATCAAGATCCTTAAATACAACACGGAGAACACCAACCCAATCACATTTGAAGGAGAAGCTCTGCAAGAGGTGGAGACTTTCACACATCTGGACAGCATCATCAATGAACAAGAAGGATCTGATGCAAACGTGAAGATGAGGATTGGCAAAGCAAGAGCAGCATTCCTACAGTCGAGGATCACCTGGAATTAAAAACAACCGTCACCCGAGACCGAAGTCATAATCGTCAATACAAACGTCAGGAAATTTCTATTGTGCAGAGCTGAGACTTAGAGAACTACTATAATCAACATGAAAAGTGTACAGGTTTTTATAAACAGCTATGTACACAAGATATTCGGCGTCCATCGACCATCAGCAAGAACCTTCTGTGGCAGGGAACAAACCAGCTTCCGACTAAAGAGGAAAGTAGGAAAAGTCACTGGAAGTGGATGGAACACACATTACAGAAATCATCAAACTGCATCGCGAGGCAAGCACTAACTTGGAATTTCGAGGGGAAAAGAAAAAGAGGAAGACCAAGGTACACATTACGTCGAGAATCGGAAGCAAACATCAAAAGAATGAAGAGCAACTGGAAAGTATTGCTCTGTACAGAGCTTGATAGAGAATGTTAGTCGGTTGCGCATGCTCCTCAGCGAGATTTAACAGGCGTAAGGAAGTAATATTTGTTTATATATGATTATAAAAAAGTTAAAAAAGCTTCTGTGTTTTCATAATCAGTTTTTGTATAACTTTTTCAACCTGTGTTACTTTATTGCTACGTTTAAATACCTACTATAATTCATATTTATCAATGGTTTCATTGCTCTTTTTCTCCATATTGCCTGCATTTATATACCTCTTTTGTTTATCTTGTAGCTTTCCTTTCACTTCTGATATGATCGGATCTGCGTTATCTTTATCACTAATTGGTCATTCACAAGTAAGTTGAAAATTAAATCTGTCATCCATTATCTATATGATGGAAGTTTTATTCAGTTACTTTGTTGAAATTTGTTGAGTGAGTTTTTTTGCAATAAGTAGTTCTATTTGTTTATATGTTAGAGTTAAATAATAAATAACATAACAAGCTGTATCCATCTGTTAGCGGGACATAGACTGGACTAAAGCATGCTCAATGCATGATTGCTTTGGTGTACGCTGATTGGCTAATTCTTATCCAATCAGCACTAGTCGATACTCTAGAATCTTCTCATGTAAAAACTATAAATATACTGACGTTTTCTCTACTGTGCTTCTTACTGGCATCTTACTTCCATCTAACCTTGTTATTTGGAATATAATCTCTTTCCTGTTCAACCGTGTTCTGATTTGGGGACTTGTCGAGTGAATCAGTGTCCGAGAATACTAAGCAATAGGAATAGCTGGGTCATAACCGTAAGAAGAGATTATAACACCATCACTGACAGGATTTTTGAAGAAACATTTATTAAAAAAGACAGCTGTCAGTTTAACTATCTTCAAAAAAGACGGAGTTATGTTCTGTAATCAGCTCAAATGATTATAACAATATGTTGAATACTTCGATAAGGAACTCAGCTAATATCCGGCTACCTTACTACTTCCAAAAATCATGAATATCAAATCGAAATAAGCTTTCAATTAGGGAGAATCAGGTTGTTTTCAGACCATCGGTTAGATGTATCAATCAAATACTCACTCTTCGCAAATGCATACTTACCGCTGGTCTGCTATAGTTACATTTTTGAACTGAAGGCGGATTTGGACTACATAGACTGATAGGTTTTGTGGCAGCTTATCGTTGAAAGGTATACCAAAAGAACACACTCATTCTCCGCGAATTCTATTTTTCGTATGATCTTTTTTGCATCTTCGATACTACCCTTATAATGTTGCCAAAAAATAATGGACATAAAATTTTACTATCGTTATAGTAGACACAATCAACAGTCCTATTTATCCAATTACCTTTTCGGTTGGCACTATATGACCATCATTTGGGGCTACTATAACACATTTCCTGAATCTTCTAGTTCATATTAATAACAACTTTTCCTTCGACTGTACACTTCGGGGGAACGTTTCGTTTATGTAGCCACCTAACTTGAACTTAGCATACAAATACTCACATAACTCGAAACGGCATGTCTTTACCATGTTATGGAGTGAAACAGATAAATATACCTATTTGTAAAGGATTATTAACTGAAAACTTCTATACAACTTTTCCGTAGAGGTTGGGCGTTTATATCCAGTAAAATCTAATCTTTTACTTGTACATAGTTTCATTTCTTCTAATTTCTTTTAGGATTTAACGACTGCGCGTCATTTAACTCGAAATAGTACCATAAATATTCCTACTAGGTTGATCCCATCTGAGAGCGTTGCTCCCAGCGAAACTGATAATACGTCGAAATTGAATGTTTTGGATGATCATACGGCTATGGATGCTGGGTTTTTAAGTGTTACTCCTAATACTCCCGCAGTAAACCGTCTTCTTCATGAACCAATAGAGGAGGAAGATGAAGAACGTGAAGATGACGATCAGTCTTATAGCAGGTCAAAAACAACGATGATAATATAAATCTTGTAAGCTTACATTAATAAATAACACCTGATATTTGTGTCATCTTATAAATAAGGTATTTATGTCTTACATGTTTCACTCGAAGTCTTACCTGTAATCTCATGATGTAATTCTTATCTTATTGTGCTTAATTGATCGAATATTTACGTAATGTGAACGTTTATGCTACTCAGTATTTAGGTTATAATTACAGAAAAACATACACGTAGCTTATATCTATGGGCTTTCAGCTGTCTATACATTGTAACAATCCTATTATTTATATTTATTATAGCCAATGGGTTTTTTTATCAACCTCATAAATTACGTTCATACCTGATTCAAATGAAAACATTTTACTGACTAACTGTACTCATTAAAAGAATGACAGTGTGTCAGTTGTTTATTCCTGAAATACTTAGTTTAAACGCCAGATCGCTCATGGAAAAAGGATTACTTTCGATCTCGTCTGTATCTAAATGCATGTCACAATTCTGGCGTAATTAATCATCTGTCAAGTACGAGTTTACTGTGCAGTAATTCGCTTTGCCCTACTTTATGGGTGTGAAATATGGCCATTAAGAATATACGACTTTAGTGGGTCACTAGTATCCGATCATGGGTGTCTCAAAGCATTGCTCTTGTGTTTTGGGATCACCGAGCGAGCAGTTCAAAGAATAAGTACAGAGTACTATGTAAAGGTGGCAAATCTGTTGATGAGTTAGTGAATCTTCATTCACTGATGTAGTTAGGACATGGGTTACATATGCATAACCCTCCTCCTCTACGCGCGACATTGTCTGGTGTCAATTCTTGTTATTCACCTTATTATTCCTAAAAAACGACTTGGATTGAATGAAGATATATTCCAAAATAAAATAGAAAGTCAATTAAGTTATAATCCAGAGTCCTCAGCTCATTCGCTAGCGCTGATTAATTCATTTTCATTAACAATTAGGATAAGTCACGTTAGCAGGTGCACATTACCTAGTTGGGGCCCGCGTGATTATCGTCATAAATGGCTAGGGACTTTGGCTGGCATAGCTGAAAATCGTTTTCAATAGTTTAATTAATATGACGGGTAGTTTGAAATATTTCCCCCTTCATGTATACTACGATAATGAGAATAGTCATTTTATGTCAGATCCGGGATTCACGACCCAGAACAGGAAATCAGATTATCATTAAATAGTACTTTATTTGACACAGTTACAAATAGTCCCACTCAGTGAATTCGGAGAAGAAATCGATAACAGGGAAGTAAGTTACGTATTTAATAGTCAGTGCTTGTCTTGGTTAATTTTATCTAGCTGTGTTAATGCGGTTCGGCAACTTGAATAGATGCTCACGTGTTTCACATTCCATTTCAGAAGCCTATCATTCAGTACCGTCTCAATGCTATCTTTTAGTGCAAGACAAAAGTTCACATTCAACTCAGTAGTTTAAGTCCCTCTTCAACAAATTTCTTAATAGATCTCTCTAAAAGTACGTAACCTAGGTATATAATTGGTGGTTACTTTGAGAAACAACAAAATATGTTAATTTCCTGTCACTGTGTTAATCTAAGACATGCGAACTTAGATCGATACATACGCCAGGATCTGTGTTGATAAATGACTGGTTTGGTTCCCTCCTTATTTTAAATTCGGAATCGGAGAGAAACAAATCGTCCTTATCTGATGGTTCTTGGTAGATATCGTACTTGAGGTAATATTTATCACAGTATGAAGTCCACTAAGAAGCAAGCAATTATTTCATTTCCATTAGTTAATCCACATCCACGATGTCTGGCTTACATGTTAGTGTTTTCTGTAGATTTTGTTGATTACACACCTGCTGATGTTTTTCATAATTGCAACAGCCTTCAGTCAACCTACACTTCATAGTTATGACATATATTATACACAGTTTAGTCATGTACTTTGTATATCCCTTTATTAGTAAATGTAAAGTAAATTTGCTTTTCGATTAAGAACAAGTGACGAACTGATATTCCGGCTTTTTTATCGTTGAAACGAGTCCTGTTGATCGCTCTCTTAAAACGTATTAGTTACACCGTTCATTCCACACAATTAAACACGAGGTATTTTTTGTCACAACCACTATTCATTAGCTAACATTGTTTGGTTTGCTCGTTACTGACGTTTGTCCTATTACTGTAAATGTATTTTTGTTTATAAACTCTTATAGGAAAAATGTTTTTGTCTATTCGTTTTCAGTCCTCTCAAAAAAGATATTTTGCATGTTTAGGAAATTGTACACTTTGTTTACGAAAGGGGGGATATGATATTTATTGTATTTGGGTTTTCCTTCATATTTATGGCAAGTTTATTATTAATCAGGATGCTGACCAACTGTGCATTCATGTAGTCCATGTTTTACATCAATTGCAATTCTGACATTTGTTCATAAAGTTGGATTTTCTGCAACATACCCAATGTTCTCAGCTAAGATATAGATATCAGGCTTTAAAAGCCTTAATTCGAATACACAGATACTTAATTAGAATTAATCATCTCAACATAGATTATGCACGTGTGTTTCTGAAAGCTTTGCTGATCACATCACTGAATCCACAAAAGAAACAATCAAATGACTTGAGTAATTCTCAAAATGCACGTAACAATACATGGATTACCTTTTTACAACCGATTTGGACTAGTAAAAATGAGGTTAATATCAATTGCATATGCAAACGTGATAAATTTCAGAAAGCATTTGTATTCATACCTAACTAATTCAATTCGCATAAGATTCGTTCTGTGACCTATCTTCTTAAAATCACAAAATAACGTTTACTTTTTTCAGGTACGATTGTATTTGACAATAGTACATGAGTTGTGTCCAAATGTGACCTCAAATTTACTACTTATGAATAGATCATATTTTGTAGTATAATAATGGAATCCTTTAAGAGTATTCAGAGCGCAAGGATGTATTACCTTATAATTTATGTTCTCGAAGTATTATAAGGTTCTCTGAATGCAAGGTTTATGCTGTAACTTTCTCAAAGTGAAAAAGACCCGTTCAAATGAATAACATTGTATATGGTAATTATATTAGCATATATCTATCTATTCAGTAACTCAGAGTACATATTTAGGCAGCAGAACAAGTTTAATTGTGATGCTTAATCAACCTCATTAACAAAGATAACACGAAATTATTATGCAAATTCATCAGAGTCAATTAGTCATGTTTGCAAGGAAATGGTAAAACAGTAGCATTAGTTTCTTATATGTTTTACTAATTAGAAAATCAGATGGAATGCTGAGAACTGACCTACTTAGGCTAATATACATATTTTTAGAGCCTTGTCCCATTGCAATCAAAAGGAAATTAAGTGCTTGGTTAATTGTTTTAAAGATGTCATTGAGATAAAAGTTAAGACTAGATATTTCAAAACAATACATACCTGAAGGAAAAACTAGTATGTGTTGGCAGCGACAAGAAGCCTTTTTTTAAACGCACTCTAAAGGTAACAGTGAAATCGCGAGGTCTAAGATACGCGCTGAGAAAAGCATTCATTTCTGTAGGGCGGCTCCCTCGTTGTTTAGATATTCAATTTGAATTTAGTAAAATGTAGATATGGATAATATATATTTTACTTATATTTCAAAAAGCAGAAAAGTTGTATCGCTACTCAGTGGAATATAACAAAAATTTATTTATTATTAACTCTCTACCCTATGCTCAATTCATTTGAAACTATCAAGCCCAACCTTGGTAAGGATACCTATAGATAGGGATGTTTTGTCATCTCAATGTGCATATATCAGTCTAACTGTCCTTCTGGATATCTAGTGAGAGCAATCCATCACCCCTCACAGTTGTGTGCATTACAATGCACTCTTAGTCAATACTGTACATCACATTCCGTGTAATATTCGGAGTTCGATGTCAAATCCTAATTAGCTTTCCCTATCTCCAGATGCTGGCTCCTGTACAACGAATGTCATAGGAATGTTTGGATAACGTTTGAACGATTTCTCATCTTTTTTGCTATGTAACGATAACAGATTGTTAATCCAAAGTTAGACCCACATTTACTGACTTTCGTCTTGATTATTACTACATGATTTTGAGTAGCTACACTTTTCCCCCATCTTTATTCAAGCGTAACCATTACCGATTACTAAGTGGCCTGTAAAAACGAACTCTCACCCACTTGCTTTGCACCTTCATTTTCATTGTATCAGTTCCTTCCTAGTTATTATGTTCATCTTTTGATATTGATTTTATAGTCAAAAGTAAATGTGTATTGGTGTCGGATCATGATGAAGAAAGAGCTAAGTAAAAAAAAACTCCGAAATCGTAATTTCTATTTCCAAGATTTAAAAAAACAACCCACAATCCCGTAGTATTTAGTTATAGCATCAAAAGTGTAGCCCATGCTAAGTAGGATCAGTACTCAATTCGCCTGACAATGATTATACAATAATTTCCGAATAAAAAATTCAATTACTACAAGGCCATATTGCCACCAGAACCAGAAAACGACGATCATGTTGATCGGAAAACTTGACAGAACTTAAATGAGCCACTTCTACAAGTCATAACACTTCCTTGTCTAGACATCACAAATAAAAGAGTGAGCGTATTTCTCGAATTCTGGAACGAGCGGTATTTTTTGGCAAGTATCCACTTCCCGGAGCATCTTAATAACCCCTGAATATTAGACGCTTGCGGGTTCATAACCATTAGCACGGTAAGATTATACAACTTTTCGAAAAACATCGTGATACATTTTTTCCACGCTAAACATGGATGCGGAATATCTACACGTATTTACATTACAAGAGGCGACAATACTAGGTATTTTATGTGGACGCTGCCAAATATCTGGTACACTGAACATCTTTTTCGTGTGATGGGAATACTTGTTATTCATATAATAATAGCATATAATTAAATATGATTGACCGTAGTATAGGATTAGGCTTCGATATAACTCTTTTGAAGCAACTACTAAGAGAATTTAAACAGCTTTTAGACTTATTAAGGTTTTTCTTATTTTTAAAAGCCAATCAGAAGGTCCCTATGTATCGGTTAGTTTAGGCAGTTTCTTATATTTACTGCCTTTTTAGATTGTCAGGTACCACCAGTCCGTAATCCCAGGGTTAAAAGATAAGAAATTGTTACAATGTTTTATTTCAAATCACCAGGACATCTGTAAGCGAAACATGACTAAAATGATAGTTCATTTAGCTTGCGATGTATACTGTCTAGGTCTTTAAAATAACGAACAGTTTTTGTGCGGAGTTCCATTGTCGCATCTTCATCAACAACAAATATAGCTTTCTTATGATGCTTAAAAAGTGATTAGTCTATTAAAATAGTAATAGCTTACCTGAAAAGCAGATACTGTCCACATATGATTTACTCCCTCTTCGATTGCTTTCTGCAATGCTAATGCTTTAGAAGTCCCAGTGACTAAAATCATAACCTCATTAGCATCCATTACCGTTCCAACTCCCACTGTCAAGCAACGCTCAGGAACCTGATATTACAATTAATGAAAATTGATGGAAAATTTAGTTTACAGCTTAAATAACGGCTTATGACAGTCAGTTACCTATTATGCATGTGAATGTACTTTATTGCATTTACATTTTATTTTGCATTAATTTGAATAATTACTATCCTAATACACATTACTCTTATACGAGATAATTCGCTGTAAATAAATACGCAACCACAAACTGGTGTTATCTGACATCCTCTATGGATTTAAGGAATCATAAAAAGCCAGTAATATCTATATGTACAGATACTTCAGCGACAAAGGTAATGAAGTAGTATATCTGAAGTTTTCTAACAAGATGAGTTTAGAATATTTCGTTCGGACATAAAAATAATAGAATTTTCGATTTTAAGTAGATAATATAAACAACAAAGTTTAGTAATTATATGACTAAATTTATAATGAAAATTACTAAGAGCAGTGATACAAACTAGTCGTATTTTTTAATGAAAAGATCAGTGTCTGAAAAAATAATGTTCATGAAAAACTGAGAAATCAGTGGTTAGGGAAATTACTGGATCATTTGGTCAAATTTCAGGATGATAGAAGTAGTGACAGTGCCGGTCGTAATACGAAATCATTGGCATCGAAGATACAACTCAAGAAGAAAATATAAATCAGCGAAATGAAAGCGAAGAAGTTATAAGGATTTCAGAATCTGGGGGAAGACAAAAAATGGATACACCTGCACCATTGAAGACAATTTTCAGCCATGTTATCCAAAGTCTGTTACCATCGGTTACGATAATCACGCGGACCTCCAACAGGCGGTCTACATCTATTAAAATGGCTAAATCCAATTGTTTGTGACTTCATAGACTGATGGCATGCTTTAGTTTGGCCACCACTAGCTTGCTTTCAGCCTACTCTTACACCAGAAAACCACGTATCGAGGTAGGCAGAGGTCAAGCATACGTAACACATGTCTCAACCACCTCAGTTAGTGAAGATTTACTACCTCACCAATCGATTTCCCATTTCTACCTAGTACTCTACTCCTAACCCAGGTATTGCTTACTCCGTGGTCCCAAAATACACCAGAAGTATTTTGTAAACACCTATGATCGAATATAAGTAATTTACGAATATCCCCAATACTTAGTAGCCATGTTTCACATCCATTAAGCAGAATGAAGCGAATTGCTGCGCAGCAAACGGACGAACATCTCGTCTACATAACAGGTTGATAAAAGCCAATCGAACCCTCTGAATGCTTGCTGAGATTTCGTCAGGCATCGGCATTGATGAGATTCCCAAGATAATTGAAGTGGTCGATATGCCCAACTACTTTATTCCCTATCACTAATTCAGGGGGTGACATAAGCCAATCCTGAAGTAACATTTTACATCTGGAGGGAGAGAACCGCACCCCAAAAATGCTTGCATTGCCGCTCAAGGTGGTCACAAGACTGCATTTTGTCAACATGTTCACAAAACAGAACTATATCAGAATATTCCAAGTCAACAAGACAATCTCATTGTACAAGATCAATCCCTGAAAAGTAAGACGATGAAAGTGTTATATCAAAAAGCATGCTTATGACAAAGTTGAATGATGTTCATGAGACATCA